GAAACGATTTAGACATTTGTTTACTTTTCTAGCCCAATCGCAAACGTTCCACACAATACCATGAGAACATATTACTAATGTTTAATTGGTAGCGGTAGTAAACACGCCAAGATGAAAGGTAATAGGCTACGCCCAGTGCAAACGTGGCGTCTGTTAGATTGGGTTCTACAGAGTTCGTGGCACGGGGAAATGTGACGTTAACATTTCCTACATAACAGTACCTTATCTAGATTTTAATGGGGTTTTTTGCTTTTTATTCAACTGTCTCCCGGCCATGATTGGCATTTTGTTCCAATCCCACCCCCCCCCCTTCCTCTTTAAACACAATTTCTGCCTGCCATCCTGCAGGGGCCCATGCATAAAATCGTTATTTTTGTTAAATTTACATTAAACAAAAAGAACAAGTAGCATTTATTTAAAAATAAAGTAGACCTAAAAAAGAAGTCATCTTCACCTTATGTCAAACGTTTGACTTGGACACTATACATGACAAAGCTACCCCCCCCCCCCGAAAAAAAAAATGTATGCTCACTAGTCCCAGACTAATGCATCAATTTGAGTTAACTTCGAGATGCTGGCAATGAACATTTATAATCTTAAATTTAATCCATCAACTATCGCTCAACTATTATTTTGTAAATTATATCTTAACACAGATTAAATTTAAGCTTACATAAAAAAGAATTAATTTGAAGTCAGCAACATTTTTTTCAATTATCATGTCTAAAATATGAATATTTTTTTTTTCTTTCAGTTTTTCGAACTTCAATGTTGAAAATTGTGACGGTTGTCTCTGTGATTCTGTAACATTCTACAACGGCAACAATCCATGGGCTTCGTCTCTGGGCGAGTACTGTGGCATTGAACTCCCTGTGACGACCAGATCCACAGGCCGATACATGTACATTAAATTCGTCTCTGATTATTCCGTCCAAAGCCCTGGTTTTAATGGATCATATTCCATCTTACCATTGTCTAGTAACTAGATAAACAGATAACAAGATATTATGTTTAGGCTTAAAAAAGAACGACAGGATAATTCAAAGAAAGTTCCCGCTAGACGCCTTCTTCATAGACCGGCACATAAATATTTGACCCATTTGAAAATTTAAAAAGAAACATGATGACAGTTAATTTGGCTTTAACTTAGAAAAATGTGAAATTAATTTGGTGTGTTGATTATATTGAACTGTAGTTTTTTGGGTTTTTTTAATCATTTTTGTTTCATTGCACACTTACTTTTTGCTGCATACTTCTTTTTAAAAATAATTTGGTATGTCTTGCTATTTTCAGGGCTTAAAAAAAATATCTGAAAGGAGACGCATTTTGTGAAAACTAACTTAGTTTGTTTTCACGTATAAACATTCCAATTACGTAGCTACAAGTAAACAGTATACTGGGATTTAAACTACTCTATAGGCTAACACATTTTTAATTACAAAAACTTTGATAAAAATCAGACGTGGGTGGGGGGATGAACTATCCACTTAATAACAAGGGACTTTAGTCCACTACACCCTAGCAGCCGACAATGCAAGTAAAGTTAAGCTCAAGGAGAGGGACATCTTATGTTTCCAAGGTTTATTAAATATTTTATTCTTTATGATAATTGATTTTCAGTTTTTCCAGTTGTTATGGATACATTTTGTAGCGTCTTTTAAACAAACGAAGCACCATTTGCGCATTGTTGTGCCTGAGGTAGTCAACATCTGAATTCTGAGCAATCCATGGGATTGATTTCACCATTTCAAGTAATCGTCCCGACTTATCGCCCCACGAACACGAACCCACGAGCAAAAGTCACGAACCTTAAACCAAGCGGTTTTTTTGTTGTTGTTTTTTATGAACACCAATTTCTGTAGCATCTCTAGGTGGTACGTATACTGCAAATTTTATTTATTCAAATACGTATTTTATATTTGTAACAAAAGTTTAAAGTTCATCGGGTCTGTTGTTGTGAGTAAATTAAATATTTGCACACGTTCGATGTGTCATTTCATTTGTTCTTAAATATCTATTAACTATATGCCCATGGTGCTCAACTGTTTTATATTAACGAAATTCGATGTATTGATTTCTTCATTAAAAATTTAATCAAATTCTTTCCTTGGTTTTTCTACTATATAATCGGAAAATCGTAAAACAAAGAATTCTTCTTATCCAAATAATAATCTCACCAACATTTGTTCACGTCCATAATAGACTTGAGTGTCTTAAAAAAAAAAAAAAAAGGATATACTATTAATCTTATTAAAAAAAAATAATTAATTTTTGCAATGTAAATACACAAATATATTTTCATTTTTACAACAACAAAAAACTTATTCTTCTTATCCAAATAATAATCTCACCAACATTTGTTCACGTCCATAATAGACTTGAGTGTCTTAAAAAAAAAAAAAAAGGATATACTATTAATCTTATTAAAAAAAAATAATTAATTTTTGCAATGTAAATACACAAATATATTTTCATTTTTACAACAACAAAAAACTTAACTCAACTTTGTTCATGCCTATGAAATGTAAATGTAAAAAAAAATTCTAGACAAACGAAACATGAAGTTTTCATAAGTAGTTTTGTAATTTGTGCAGTTAATGTAGGAAATAGTTGTTTTTTTTCCTGGGCTATAACATTTTAGTCGTAGTGCTCTTTCGGTAAATAGCGTGTCGAAAACCCATATTGACCAGGTCAATGTGACCTTATTAATGATCATAAACTGTATCTTTCTTTGTGTCTAGCGTAAAGCGTTCTGAGGCAGCGTAACGCTGAGCACAAAGTGTACATGAAACAATATTTCTTTATTTGACAAAAAAAAATTATATTTATAATATATACCCAAATGAGAGTAGCTGGAAAAGAAATTGTCCTTTTATAATATGTAGGCTTTTAGAATGTAGTTTTGCAGCAGAAACAAGTAAAATATAAAATATTTATCGGAGATGACTCAATACTGACTTCTGATTTGTAATTTAACGGATTGTTTTTTTGTTTCGTCCTAAGATTTATAAGAAACAACCAATTGTAATGGAAATTTTACTTATAAACCATGAAAATGGAGACAATCAATTTTATTTTAATATGGAACTTTAAAAAAACACGAGTTTGTCCCCTTCGGTTCAGACTACTCAATCGCTTTTTGTTAAATCTCAGGGTATATAAATGTATCTTAACTTACCAAAAGAAACTGAAACTTTCAATTATGGGTGATCACTGTGTCGCATTCGACATTATTATTACAGAATATATGTTGAAAAACAAAATTGGTATGGGCTTCCATGTTTTTACTTTGTGTGCAGTAATAAGAAACAGGACCTCACGAATAATAGTAACAAAGCTACAGTATGTTTTACAGTCTAACCCGGTTATGTCGCCGGGCTCCGGGTTCACCAAAAAGCGTCGAGATAACCGATGATCGAGATAAACGAAAACCAACATAGCGGCAACATATTAACCTGTGCTTGAAATTTCTTCTTGTACATGATGTGCGGTTATACGAGTGGTTTTTTTGGATTTTATTTTTTAATAAACAGCGTTACCGCCATTAGTTTGATGAAGCGATCGGCATGCTATAAAAAAATGTACATAGATGTTTACTAACAACACAAGGCCACTTGTGGGGTGCCACTTTTCCAGATTTTCCCGGAATGCCTGATTCATGAGGCTAAATATTTTTTTCCGGATTTGAGAGGGTTTTTTTTCTATTTTTCGTTCCGGATTCCCCAGTCCAGTTTATTCAAATACGGATTCTGAGTTTTAAAAAAAAGATCAACTTGTAAGAACCGGTGAAAGCCTATTCTGCGACTAGCGGAATCACTATAAATAGAACAGGTATCGTGACCTCTCTCTTTTGTCTGCAAGCCTCTCGCTCCTCGCTATATCAAATTAATTGCGCGGACAACGATATTGTCATTTCATTTAAATTATTACTTTGAAGTGGGCACGTTAATGTTGTATATACATTTTCAAAAGCCGGCGATTGGTCATGGGGATCGAGATAACCGGGGTTAAGTGTCAAATTAAGCCGCCTTATGTGCTCGAGATATCAGGGTTCGGCGACATAACGATTCGACATAACTGATAAGAAAATACTAAGACATAGAGAAAGTTTGGTGGTTCCACTTCAAAACCATCGACATAACAGGGTTGGCGAGTTAACTGAGGTCAAGATAAGTGGCTTTGACTGTACATTTATTTCCTGAAAATGGCAATATAATTTTCTTTTGTTAGCATATATTTTTTTTTTGAAATTGAATTATTTTCATGTTTTGATATACTGAATATTGCCTGCGAACTTGGAATGGAAATAAACAAAACTATGACCAAGTCATTTCAGCAGGCCGAGATCATTTCAGAATGGCCTTTTAAAAAAAACTAGGAATTTAAATAACTTGGAATAACTTGGAAGCAGTTCCCCTAAGGACGGAAAATGGGACACAAAGATAACTCCAAGATTACAGCGGGCAAATGCAGTCAGCTACCAAGTCGCTCCGTTTCTAAGGCACACTCGAATAATGATGGAGACCAAAGCCAGGTTCATTAACGCTGCTCTATTCTAAACTTTGCTTGCCAGTGTCAAACCTTTACTTACCAGTGTCAAACCTTTACTTACCAGTGTCAAACCTTTACTTACCAGTGTCAAACCTTTACTTACCAGTGTCAAACCTTTACTTACCAGTAAAGTTTGCTTTGCTGTTTCCCGTTTATGTTCTTTAACTTATTAAAATTAATGGAGATAATATCCACACAATATACACATTTTGCACAATCTATCTATTAAATTTACCACGCCCTTCCCACTTGTGAAGCACGGGTAAATGTGCTAGTAAAAATTACAACTGTGATATAATTCTAAATGGCTTTCTAAAATGTAATCTGAGTGCATAAAGGAAGTGAGTTCCAACACTATTGTTCTTCTGACACGTTGTATCTGGTGTCCCATCAGTATGACGCTCAGACAATTAGCGTTCATTTCCGGAAACATAAAACAGACGGCATATTTAATGTTTACGCCATGTTGTGTTTCCTTCCTGTTACAAAAAAAAAAAGGCATTAACATGTGATAGTTTAACACCAAATGTTCACAGCAAGGGAAACGGCTACATCAATCCTTTACTGCGCAGTGAATCATTACTGTTATAGAAGCATACTTAACCATCCACTCTCGCAACAGTATCCCGATAAGCTACTGGTCATTCACGGCACTTTTCGTAAAAACGAAATGGTTCTGCTAATAAAAAATGTATCCCTACAGATGTTTTTCGTGTTCGTGTGTTGCAGGTGTGATGAAACTTCCAACGGTAAGAATTTTACTCTTTATTAAATGCGTGAAAATTTTGCCCGAAAATTTCATTACGTCGGATGAAAAATAATTTGTTAATTATTTCTTATTTGGGTGACATAATCCCCTTTTTCAATATAAACAAAAGGCTAATCCAATGGATCAGAACATTTTACGAACACTAAGCTTTTTTTGGGGGTATATTGAATATATCAATTTTAAATTATTGTTTTTAAATTTTACACAGCATGAGGCATAATATGTTAATAATGTTTATCCATGTAATAGAAATGAATGATGCACAGACTTCTGTGTTCGGTGTAACAACTAAACTTTATTCTAGATTATACACCCTTTTGTAAACCTCTACAATCATGATCACTCATTCCAATTTTCCATGCATTTAAGTTTAAAACATTCATAAATCAAAACAACTGACAACGTCCAGTCATTCCACATAACAATAACACAGGCCAATCAGGTCACAAACTTCACTCACTACTCACATTAATAATCGTCAGACATGCTCTCACAATACATGTCTTTACTCCTGTAAAAAGATAACAATTCATTTTAAATATTAAAAAAAAGGGTATAGGGTAAAGGGTTATAGTGTGAAAGACTAAAGAAGAACTTTTCTAAAGAATGGAATAGTAATTTTGGATCAGGCTGATGGATACTGATGGTCCTTTCGGTGTGACATAAGAGGATTCTGGGGAGCGTAGTATGCACGACCAGTTTCCTTGATAAACATCAATTTTAGTGTCTCTAATGTGAACAATAATGTACAGGTTTTCAAACGCATGGCACAGAAGACTTTGACAAAAAAATTTCAGTGGCTAAAAATAGAATTTTGGGGGTGGGGATCAGACACATCTGTGGTACTAAGACTTTTTCTCATACACAACAACCAGTGTAAGTGTAAGTGTTTGACCTGCATCCTGGTGTTAAAAAAATTAGGAGGTTATCAGATTGATTGGATAACGAAATTTTAGACAGAACTTTCTGCGTGAGCGGACGTAAGCAATGGAGAGAACTTACCTGTAATCAATCGGATGTAGGTCATGGTAAGAACTGACCCAGTAAGCTGATGTATGTCATGGCCAGAACTGTCATGTAAGTAGATGGGGGAAAACTAACATGTAAGCAGATGTTGTTCATGGGAAGAACTAACATGTAAGCAAAATAAAGTCATAGGAACAACTAACATTTAAGCTAGGGTGACTAAATTATGAACTGGAAAAAACGGGACACACCCAAGGAGCGTTTGGGAGGGGATACCATCAAGGTAAAGAGGGGTCCGGAGACCTCCGCCCGCATCTATTTATTGAAACATGCTCTTTTTAACTGTTTTGAGACCAACATTTTTTGTTTCAAATTTACCTTGACTTCTCTTATTTAATTTAAAAGGAAAATAATAATTTTGTAGTGAATATGGCAGGGACTCTGCCTTTTACGCAGCGTCGGCAGAATGGCAGAGGGGGGAACAGTGCAGCAATCCCGCGACCCCCATATCACTACTGGCAATTTCTACAAAGAAAGACTAAATATTACTTGAAGTTATATTATAAATTAATAAGTGTTAGTGATTTAAAAATGTGTTTGGTTTTAGAAACGGGACATTTAGGCGTCCCGGAAGATTTTTTCGGGACACCGGGTACGTTTTTATGGGCCGTGCGGTCACCCTAATGTAAGCAAATGTAGGTCATTGGTAGAACTTGCATGTAAGCAAATGTAGGTCATGGGAGGACCTAATATGTAAGCAGATGTAGGTCATGGGAATAACCAACATGTGAGAAGATGTAGTTCAATGGAATATCGAACTCGTAAGAATATGTAGATCATGGAAAGAACTAACATGTGAGCATCTATGATTTTTTTACGAAGGCACTTTATATTTCTATATCTTTCAAATGCAATGTATACTATTGCTTAAAACATATACCACACGTTTTTCTCTCTATCACCATAAGGTTCACTCTCTGTTTGTGAGGAGTACAACATCATCACCCTGGAAGCTTCTCTACAGGAAACTTTCACCTACGGGATTTGCATAAAAGCTCGAGCACATGCCCCTCAAGTAAATTTAGTGACCGACACCAGGAAAGGTTATCTTGTGGGCAACTCCACCAAATACGCACTGCGCTACGCAAGAGATCCCAAAGAGCTTGGACAAGACAGACTGACGCTTGAGATAACCAACATGACAGTCAACGACTTTGTCAAGTACAAGATTGTATCTGTCGTGGGCGGCAAAGAGGATGTGATCTTCAGAATAAATTTAGTGCATAGTGGTAAAGCATTTTAGTTAACAACACTTAAAATTAACTGTTGAGCAAACAAAGATTTCGTCCAAAGACTAACACACATACAATGCCCCGTATGTCCTAGTTATATAATTTGCTTTTTTGTCTTTACAAAGATAATATGGTTTGCGTAATGTACAATTTCACTGGCTTCAATGCTAATTAAAGATAACCCAAGAAAACCCCTTTTTTAGACTCTATTGTCATTAAAAATATTGATGAACTATTCTACTTCAACAACACAAAAAATTTCTTGTAAGAATATTGAAGTATCGGTAAAAAAAAAAGTATTTCTATTTGGCTTGTGCTGCATGTTTTAAATACTCCTGTAAGTATAGCCACGGTTTTTTTTGTTTTCCTTTCTTTCTTTAAGTCGGTATTTGAAACATCCTTTTTGTAACGCGCTGATGCACTGAGTCCACCATTGAGTGTGTGTTGGTTAATTCTCTGTCTGTGTCCATAGGTTGTCCTGAACGCTGGTGCTCGGTTGAACAAGGAAGATGCTTGCTGGTTATCAAGAAAAACGCATCCTGCGCGGAGGCGAGGAGCATTTGCGGCAGTAACAACGGGACTCTGTATGACGGCACGTTCAGCTACAGGTCACGGCATTGTTCGAGTGAGCGGAAACACGCGGGGCGTCGGCTTCGATAAGTGAAAACGGAAATAATGACATGAACTGTTCTTCCATTGTTTTTTTCGGTAGTGCGCGCAGAGCTCTTTATATGATTATAGGAAATAAAAAATAACTACTATAATCAGTTTGTCAATGGCCGTTTATTATTATAATTTATTTATCTATTTTCAAAATAAGACCATTACTTTATATAACACGCTAAAAGATTTTTTTCCTTGGTTTTACATTTCTTTATTCATTTTTATATTAACATATTAAGTCCCATTAATATATAGAGAGCAATATTAATGAAATACAATTTAGGCCTCAGAAATTTTTTTTTTAATGATTTTCAATTTAGAGAAACATTGAAACTACTTTCTAGTTAAATAAACAAAGCTTATAGTATGTTGTTAGTTATAAATATAAAAAAGATAGAACGCATCAAAACAACGAACGTGCAAGAAAAAAACTTGCACCAGCGAACAAACGACAGTAAAAATAGAATTGAGGAAAAAAAACAATAATTATCTGTAATGTAGCATCCGAGAGGACAGCAAGAGGAAAGTTTTCATAATCCGTGTGGGTCAAGTAGTCCTTAAATGTGGCCAGCCACTCAACTCATAAGGTCGCTGTGTTTGCTTTAAAAGGTCGTACAGGCTGCCTCTTGTGAAAACCTGGTCAGTCAATCCTTTCCCCGCCCGTCACGCCTATGGAAAGTTTGTTTGTTGTTTGTTGTTTGTTTTCTGATCTCGCCACAAACTATCGGTGGTCGCCCTGGGCTATGTCTACACAAATTTAATTTTTTTTTTTTTTTTTTTTTTAAGTAGCAGTTTAGACCTGGTCTTCCTGTAATACGTTTATATTAACATGGCCCAATTTAAAATGTTACACTGTGGCATGGTCGCCCGGGGATATGTCTATAGAAATGTAAACAGTTTTTTTTTTTTAATTAACACTTCAAACATGAAGTAAATCAGTAAGGTTCAGGAGAAAAATGTTAAACTTCATTTCAAAACTCAACGACATGAAGTCGGGAGTCAGAAGTCAACGAAAATATTTTTTCCCCTTAACCACCCTCCCCTCTCCCCAAAAAACACAATTCTTTGACATACGATACTCATCTTTGTTAGTTCCGTGTGATAATTTCTTCAAATATATTTTATTTTAAAGCAAGACACAAGCTTTGGTTATTTTTTTAATTCAAAAATAGCTATTGTATTTTTAAACTGTACTTATCTCCTCTTCAAAAGGTAGTAAAGCTTTTGTCTCTTTCAGGAATGAAAGACTTAAAGGCTCTTGGTGGAACAGAATGCAGTGAAGGTAACAATGGCTCTGAAACTAACAAGTACAGAGGCTCAACGGAGAACCGTGCTCATGTATCGCATTTCGCATGTTTTCGTGATCTACGTAAGTTAATGTACTTTGTAGATAGAGCTCGTAATGAGTACCAAAATGTTCTGAGCACTGACGTGTTCTGAGCACTGACGTGTTCTGAGCACTGAAGTGTTCCGAGTGCTTGCGCGTTCTGAGCTCTGAGGTGTTCTTAGTACTGAAGAGATCATCCGAAGAAACATAAATAATTTCAGTCCAACTCTATTCACACTAAATGTTTATATCCCCCCCCCTCTTCACTTGACATACAGCAATAGAATGGCTACCTTACTTGGCTTTTCTAATATTTAAGTCATTGAAATAATGTTGTTTATCTTGTTGTTTAAACTTTGTATCTCTATTAAGAAAAACGTTTAAACTCAGTTAATTTTCATGTTTGTATTATCACAAGTATTTGAGGAATTATATAATCTATCAGTTATTTTTTATTTCATTATTATTTTTCTTAAATTTCTCTGTTTTTCTTTTAGTTTTTTTTTCCTTTATTTTTTTGCCAAAGGGTCATGAAAAAGAAGGTAATAAAAAATAAATAACACACGAATTTTTTTTTTTTTTTTTAGATTTTCCGGAAATTTTTTTTTTTTTTTTTTTTTTTTTTTTTTTTTTATTTTTTTTACAAAGTGTAATTAAAAAGAAGGTAATAAAAAATAAATAACACTCGAATTTTTTTTTTTTTTTTAGCATTTCCAGCAACTCCAACCTACGACAACAATCATGTATTCCGGGACATCAAGTATTTGTGGATCGGAGTCGGTCTCATGTTTCTGTCACTGATGACATTTCAGATCGTCGCCCATAGGAGACTCCGGTGGAATCGTGCGGCTGATGGTCTGGGTACAGTGGCATTGTAGTTGAACGCTTTGTTTGATCTTTAGGGGTTCTTGTTTTATTGCCGGGTTGTGTTTTAATTTTTGTTCCTTTCTGGTTTTAAAAAAAAAAAAAAATTATTTTATGTTTGTCTGTTGATGGGAATGTTGAGCTTAAAGTAATATATTTTTTTTTGATGTAATACTAAGTATATTTTGAAAACGTATTCTAAAAGAGTAAAACGTGCAAGGGAAAGTATCATTGAAAACAGGAGATATTTTTACACAGGTTAAAAAAAAAAAATCAGAGAACCAAAAACCAGGAAAAGCCCTTCCTTGTCGACTGCAATACAATAGTATCACCTGATGGTACATTTGACGAACAGATCTTTCAAACATATCTTGAGGCCTACTGTTTGATACAGCATCAGCCAATGTTTATCAATAACGTACCGATTACAACACTAGCATATTATCTTTTCGATGTATTAATTTTTTTTTTTAAATATCAGAATCTTTCAACATTTCATTTTCTACCACCGGGATCGAAATCTATATGAAAGTAATCGGCTCCGTGTACGACTTATGAGTTTGCTCATGACGTTGCTATCTGTTTCTGTAGCTTCAAAAAAAAAATTGAAAAGAAAAAAAAACGCAGATATTAACCATATTCGATTTTTCTTACACTATGTTCATTATCTATTACCTTTTATTTTCCAGCTAACAAAGGAAGAATTCGTGGGAAGCTAGAGAGGTAATAGGATGATTTATTCAATTATTATACGTGCATGCTCATGTTAAAGCTGTTTAAATTAAATTAATGCCATATGTAATTTTGCCCAATATTTTTATTTGAAGCTCGGTGAGCTCAGCCAGAGCCTGGGGTACCGTGCTATATAAGACTACTGTAATAATACTAATGATAACAGTTACCTTTTCTATTGATTCTTGAATTTTTAGCCAGTAAACTTTCGGCGATATTTAACAATGCATTTATAGAAGTAGAAATTAAATCTACATTATATATTTATATATATATATATATATATATATATATATATATATATATATATATATACATAAATGTCATTTATACTTTTTAAAATGTATTGTTATACTGATAAAGGCTTTTGTCTAAAAGTTTGTGTATTATGTACAATTATTATTATATCTGAAACATATTGTTTTCTTGACACAAATAGTTCGTTTCCAATTAATCTACTTTAAATGTCCTGTCCTTCTATTTCAAACGTCCATACACCTTGCCCTTCTATTGAATTTAAATAAGTCACCCCATAAGAACTTAATTTGTTCTTGACAGCATATTCTACTGGGACTCCTCACTGGTTTCTCGCAGAGAAAGTAAGTATATAACACGATAAAATGCATATTGCATAGAATAAACAGAAAGCTGATTAAAATTTTCATTGAAGTAATCATTGGTACCATATATACCATGTCAACTACAACTCAATGCAGGGTAAAGGAATATTCAGCCAGAATGAAAATATATTTTTGTAAGATTAATTTAATTTCCAGGATAACCTAAGTAGTGCAGCCAGTAAGGAATTACGGTAACGACCTCTTCTTGGACCAGAGTTAATTTAGATGAAGTGCATTTTAAGTTGGAAAAAAAGAGGTCATATTTGTTGACATATGCTCGTTATACCTAAATGAATACTTTCAATACCAGGTTGACTTTGGTTTAATAATCAATATACAAGTGTACCGATAGTGTATATTCAATCAGTGTACACGGGTCTAACGTTAGTAGCTCTGGTGTTTACTGTAATAATGTACAGTTTTAGGATTTGGCTTTAACTTTTAAAACACGTTTCTATACAGGCATATTATTTTAAACTTGATATTGATTTTTGGAGACAAATGTTATTTTAAAAATATAGATACAGGAGAAAGTGACTGCTATAACTATTTTTGGCTATGTTTTTGAAATAAATACTTTAATATATTTAAATCCACCTTTCGTTAACATGCAAACACATGGTTTTTTTAACATAATAGTGAACTATTCTAAACTGGACATTTTTTTTCCCTGTAGTTTCTCATGCAGCTGCAGGCGCTAATGACAGTATAGAACTGATTGATTGGAAAGATCACAGCGAGGTCGTTGAAGAGGTACAGTCATGTGAACAAGACACTTATGAAATCATCAGCCACGGATCAAAAGCTAGCTTCGATGACGCATGCCTAAGAACCAATGATGGAACGGGCCGGGGCAACCATGTGAGCAACATGCCATTCGAGAGTGGGATCTACGCTGTCATCAGCGAACGCTTCACTTCGCAGAGAAGCTTGGACGTATTGATTTCCGACACACGCGAGAGAGATGTCCCCGTTCGCGCACAGAGTGCGGAGACTGTAGACTGCAGAAATCCTGACGTTCAGATTGACGCTCTCAGATTGAAAACTATGAATACACTTGACGTTCTATGCATTGAACCCCCTTTAATCGATCCTGGTGCAAGAATTAAACCAAAATTTCGCAAATTTTCAAACTTCGCGGTGTCTGATAAAATAAGAGGCGATGAGACCACACGAGACCCAAGCGCTGGCAACCGTTATATCAAAAAATCGAATAACGCATCACAGTTTTCACATTTTGGAGATATTATGAAAGTTGACAAGGGAGAACTCAAACTGACTCAGTTGAGAAGCCATGAAGATTCTCATGATGGTTTCACTGCGGTCGTTCAGAGTGATGACCGAACGTGCGCCTCGCGTGGTAGTGATATCAGCAGCAATCTCCTGTCGGGTCACGAAGCTGCGATCGATGGTGCGGCCGAAGAGGTCTACAGCAAGCCGGAGAGCTTCAGCGAGAATCATGATTACGGCAGTCTAACCGGCGACACGCTGGAAGCAAGACACGGAGATTGCTTACAGAGAAACCAAAACGGCCCATCGCGATACGAATCTGCAGGTCAGGCCGAGGAGTGTGTTAATGTGGGTGTTGACCTTCCACTCAATGACCGTTGTGACGCTGCCAGCGCCGATACATTGACTTCTGACTTCGTGATGTCTGTCCCAGTGGAGGGAAAGTGCGTCTTATCTGATGACGAACTATCAGGTCAAGACATAGACGCAGATGCAGACAACGCAGATGATTACTGGGTACCGGACGGATACGGTAATCGGATCTCGGCGCCGAATTTTGATGAATTCAATGAACATTCTATGATGGCTGGAGAACAACAAGCGTGAACGGATGTTATGGGGGAAGTTATGAGACGGTCACAATCGGAGCTAGTTCAAACGTTTGAAATGTATCTCAAAGTAAAATCAAATAATTTATAATTTATAGTTAACAGACCTTCTCCACATATTATTTTTCAATTAAAACATCTATTTAACAGGCGAATCGGATTTTTTTTTTTGGCTATAATGATCTGTTCTAAAGAAAACAAATATTTTATTCACAGTATTAATATTTAAATTTTAATCGCGTATTTCACAACTGTTACCATCATGAATTTTCTTTTCTGTTTTTATTAATATTAATTAATGGGTTTTCAAGCGCTTCTTTTTAATATTAGATATAATATGTATATTGTTTTACCAGTATTCTACCCAACACATTTTCTTGAATAAAACAGCTGTATTTTGACATGACAATACCATTATATGTCTTTTTTTTTTTTACGTGGTAATACAATTATTTATACCTTACGGATGGATCTCCATGCCAATGAATATTTTTTATGTCAAATGTAAACAATATTTCTTGTGCATCGTAAAATGAAAAGAGGTGAGGAGGTAAGGATGACGGTGAACACAAACTGAGTCAACGCTGTTTTTTTAATTGTAAATAAGCGGTTCATGGTCTATGAACAGTACAACTTCTCACCCCTACCTACTTCTTTTAAACAATAGGCCTACGGACAGTCCAACACCCTACCTGTCTTCTTTTAAACAATAGGCCTACAGACAGTCCAATACTCTAACTGTCTTCTTTTAAACAATAGGCCTACAGACAGTCCAATACTCTAACTGTCTTCTTTTAAACAATAGGCCTACAGACAGTCCAATACTCTACCTGTCTTCTTTTAAACAATAGGCCTACAGACAGTCCAACCCCCTACCTGTCTTCTTTTAAACAATAGGTCTTCAGACAGTCCAACGCTCTACCTGTCTTCTTCTAAACAATAGGCCTACAGACAGTCCAACGCTCTACCTGTCTTCTTTTAAACAATAGGCCTACGGACAGTCCAACGCTCTACCTGCCTTCTTTTAAACAATAGGCCTACAGACAGTCCAACGCTCTACCTGTCTTCTTTTAAACAATAGGCCTACAGACAGTCCAACGCTCTACCTGTCTTCTTTTAAACAATAGGCCTACAGACTGTCCAACGCTCTACCTGTCTTCTTTTAAACAATAGGCCTACAGACAGCCCAACGCCCTACCTGTCTTCTTTTAAACAATAGGCCCACAGACAGTCCAACGCTCTACCTGTCTTCTTTTAAACAATAGGCCTACAGACAGCCCAACACCCTACCTGTCATCTTTTAAACAATAGGCCTACAGACAGTCTACCTACCTACCTGTCTGCTGGTAAACTTTAGGCCTGCAGACAGTCCTACAAACTACTTTCCAGCCTTTAAATAATAGTCCTACACAGTCCTATACAGTCCTTCAGACAGCCCTAAATCATGCCCGTGGAATTTATTGATTAATATAATTGTCATCTCCCTCTTAAAAAATAAAGTCAACCTTTTTACTTAGCTCAGACGTCACGGATGAAAGCATGCTGTGTGACAGCCTTTGTTTCACACAATACTGTTAATATAAATGGAGTGGGGGGGCGGTTGTGAAAAGGAAGCAGGACGAAGCAGAAACAATATATATGTATATATATCTAAAAATTTGATAAAGTGTGTTGTCATCGGCAACGAGTCTATGCGCCAACTTTCAGCTCGTTAGCTTGGCGGAAAGTGGGTCAATTAGCCTTTCGAAAATTTAGCCTGCCACCCATCCATAAAAAAGCCAAGTTATTATAAAGGATTTAAACAGAACAAATGTGATTTCACATCGACCGTTAAGAGAAGAGTTCATTAATAAATATATTTTTCCTATATATTGTGGGCTACGATTTATCATACTTAAAAGGAAATTCACAAACCCTCCCCCCCCCCAAACACACAAAAACAGTTTAAATGAGTCTAAAAGGCTAATGCAAACTACAACACAGAAAGTCCATATATCCTTCAAATTCCCACGAGCACGGATGCCCTTCAAATAGTTCCTAGATCCTGCTTTTTCCCGCATTTTGATTTTTCCTGGAACAGTTTCTAGATTCGCACCTTTTCCCCTGTGAATCCAGGTCCGTCTCTACAACACGTCGCGGTAGGTATAACCATTCGAAACGCCCTACCTTGTCCAACAAAACAAAAACATCTGAAACATTGAATGCGGATTGTGTACAAAACAAATAATAATAATTAAGTAAACACCTCTACGGGGTATGGGAACGCATTTTTCCCCTTTCATAAATATGCAACAAATATGTTAAGTGACAGCTTAATGTACATTTTTGGTACAGCCCAACTATACTTGGATATGTCAAGCGCCCTGTCAACGTCTGCCACATCCACCGCCAGTTGTGTTTTTCCAAAAAACAAAAGCCCATCAAATTAAAGGGAGCAAATGTATGGTGAGTGAAATTCAGTGTAGTATTGATCGTAGGCGAGATTACGAAACACGTTCCTACCCTCGTTCTGACCCACGCATTGTGTATTTTTTCATACAAGATTCCATTAGTCATGATCTGCATCCCACGGCAACACACGAGTATTTTTCATTCTTTTTTTTTTTAATTTTTAGGGACTGGAAACATTTCAGTGGTCCTCAAAAATTTAGGGATATAACAAACCTCTTTTTAAAATCTTCTTTGCCATTTGATGAAGAACACCCATCATTTTTTACAGACTATGCTTTAAAATAGAAATACTTGACGATTATATTAGAATATGATAAAGATAAATGTACCGATTACGTAAATGTATATATATATATATATATATATA